CCCCCCCAAAAGGGGAAAAAAATCCATTCTCAATTAGAAATCGAATCCACTGAGGCAAAATTGACATTGTCTCGGAAGAAAAAATCCGAAAAGACGTCAATGAATAAAACAGGAGGTTGTAACACACCTATTTAACCCATTCGCTGTCAGACCTGCTATAGTCTAATCAAAACGTTAAAACAGCCTCGGGCGAGGCAGTGAAGGGGTTAATTCGGCTTGGATACAGCGCGGTGATCTATTTATCCTGACACTTTCAACGTTGCATCATCCTAGCGACGTTGAAGGAAGAAAGCGGGATGGGGTGGTAGTATGGGTTAAAGAACGTGTTCTAATCCTTTCCTGTGTTAATAGATCCCGGGCCGTTATCTTACACTATTACCCCAAACTCTCGACTTTTTCCTCTGGTTTGTTGTTTTACTCCTAATATTTCATTCTCCTCAAAGATGACTTGCATCTAACGACTCTCCTCCCCCTGTCCCTTTTTCTCCTTGAGGCTGGATACGAATACTTTTTGTCCCATTTCGGAAATAGGTGAAGTGTCGAAGTGCGAAATCGGATCAAACGTCGTCACCCCTTTTGGTTGTGTTGAAAGCGATGAATCACGGTGGATTTTTTTTATTTTTGTGGTTCAAGTCTGCTTTTCACGAAACGCTTTTCATACCGGAGAGATTTCTTCCGCTGTGCCAGATCAGTGTGTTGTAAAATGGACAGGTGCTATGGGCAGAGGCCAGTTATGGAGGTGGCGTATTCTGGTTATTCTACAACACCCGCACGCGTGCTGTTTTGGGACACCATGGAAAAAAATAACATCACTATTCGTACATAACTTTTTATTCTACTGTCTTTATCTGAAATTTGAAAAGGCAAGCAGCAACATTCATACTATGAAAAATGCAATTAATTCATGCCTCTGATTTTTACAAGATGGTTTGAAATGTATTTGTTGATCGGAAATAATTAGGTGTTCGTTTCGTCTTTAAAAAATTAAATATAACACCGCCCTATAATATTGATAATTGGTAGTGGGATGGGAAGGAGAGAGTCAACACGAATGATCAAAATAAAAAAAAGAAGATAATTAGTGGTCGACCCAAAAGGAAACAATTTTTTTCCGCGTGTTCAAGGTTGTCCACTACGGGGATTAAAGAAGCTAAAGATCAGATGAAGACGATAGTGGATTGCAACAAGCCACACAGGCACTATCTGTGAAACCTTTACAGTACTTCACGAGAACGTAATATTAAGCTGTTGCTGGCTGGATTGCTAAATATCTTACATGGGATCCGACAAGCTGTTGTTTCCTCAGTACAAAAGCAACCAAGGATAAACCATTTGCTTTGGCTGGTGTTATTTCCTGTTCTTGACTTGGGGCGTTGTCTCTTGAATAATGTAGCATACGGTACGGAGTTGAAAGATGTCTTGAACCAAAAGAAACATGAGGCTTTTCTAAACTACTGAATTAAAGACTACTAGGGGAAAAGGGCAGTTGCCAACGAAAGAATAGTGTGAACAATTCAAGTGACATACTTTTACAAAGCCTCATGGACTTCCGCCGTTTCTCTTCCTTGTACGGCTGTTTTGAATACACCTCTGGAGTGTGACGTTAGCCCTTTTGACAAAAAACCTTTTTGATGGACGATATGAAACAGGCTAAACAATCATTGACCAAGACAGACATAGACAAAATCTGAAATTGTGAGGAAGCTCTTTTCCCCTGCATTTTTTAATTCAATAAAATGCAAAAGAACCCCCCTCCCCACTTTCTTAAAAAAGTCTTACGCTACTCTTATAGTACAATGGACAGCAAATCAAACCATTTGAGGCTTCACGAATTTAAAATTCTGAAGCCGAGGAGAAGGCCTATAAGCTGGGTACACCAATGAAAAGGAAATGAAGGTTTTAAGTACTCAAGGTGTGGCAAACATTTCTCATAATAGTAGCCGCAACAAAACTTCTTGACCCGTACTTCTTCTGTTTCGTTTAAGAAAATACTATAATAATTCTTCTCTGCAAATGCATTGATCATCATCAGACATTGACAGACAAGCTACATGACGTTTTCTTCTTCTTCTCCTTCTCCTTTTCCTTCTTTTTCTTCTTCTTCGTCTTCTTCTTCTTCTTCTTCTTCTTCTTCTTCTTCTTCTTCTTCTTC